ATTTGATTTAGAAATAATATTACACCTTAGGGTTTTTTCTGATGTCTTTGTGTTTACCTATTAGCATGTATATCTTATAAAGATGTTTTGTAATCAATTCCTACCTGACAGCAGTGAATCTTTTACAAACTCAGCTCTATCTATCCGCGTAACACACACACACACACACAGAGAGAGAGAGAGAGAGAGAGAGAGAGAGAGAGAGAGAGACCTGTACTCATCTTTGTGGGGACTCTCCATTCATTTCTAGGGGAAAACTCTAATCCCAACATGACGACCTTAACCCCTACCCAGCCCTAACCTTAACCATAAGTAACCAAACAAAATACAAGACTTGTGGCATTTTTACTTTTTTGATCACATTCACAGATCTTTGTGGGGACCTGAAAAATAATTCCCACAAAGTTAAAATAAATGGTTTTTACCACATCATGGGGTACACTTGGTCCCCACAACGTAATATAAACATAATCCACGCACGTATGCACACACACACACACACGTTGTCTGATGCTGCCGCCAGCAAATCAAAGAACAGGTGCGCTGAAATCCAAATAGACTGGAAGGCTTTGTCCAAAGGGATATGTTTTTTCATATTTAAAAAGTGGGGGGCGGGTGGTATGTTAAATGCAAAGTTAATATCGATTTAATGCTTGTCAAATTTTCTTTTGGCGTCGCTAAACCTTTCAGTGTTCTGCGGCCTCCGGATCTTTTTTGTGCATCATGCGGTGGGCTAGATCTACCCAACAGATGACAGCACAAGAACTGGGACGGACCAGGCTTACCCAGGGCGTTATAACAAAGACCTCCTGCTCCACACGTGGTGTTTAAACTGTGACTGCGTAATCTTAACTGTTTATCATGCTAATTTCAACTATATTCAAATATGGCACTTGAAATATAATTAAAATGAAATGAGACTGGTAGCCTCTTGTTCTCTAGTCGCTAGTCCAAAGTCTATCTGAACTTTATTTTAGCAGTAAACTAAACAAAAATTAAAGACTTTACGTACTGCCTATTATTATTTTTATTCTAATTTTGTATTACCTCATTATTTAAATTATCCGACATGATGCATGTGTTATTTTCGTTTTGCTTATGCCCTAGACGATTGTTCCAATAGATAAATATATAAATAAGATAGATAAATAACGAATGAAACGCACGTCTGGATTAATGACGGAGTACTACTAATAATTATATATATTGGTTTAGAAACCCCTTGAAGCACTTCTTTAAACACATCCAATTTTAAACGATATCACAATTCATGACTTTTTTGGAAATAAATTACTCAGGATATAACCTATTCAAATAATCTCTGAATAAACTGAAAAAATTGATAATGTATCATGATGCAATTTATTTATTAAGAAAAAAAAATAGATTTGTTAACACATGCGAAAACGACGCCCCCATTTTCCTTCCGACTATCAGGAAAGTGTCAAAAAGTTAGTCTTCTCATAACCTAAACACAATAAAGCAATTAATCCAAAAAGAAGTGGGGAAAAGACGATGGTCAAGTCTTAATATATTTAGTCAAATGGTTTGTGATATAGAGGTTGAAGAGAAGGTATAGATTTCCCATTTGCCTTTCTGCTACATTTTCATCTGAATGTATCCAAGTTTTCTGCTTTACGGACAGGTGGGCCGTGTGTAAGACGGGTGGCTAGACATTTTATATGGAAATAATATCTTTAAAATTTGTCTTTATTTTATTTAATTCAACAAAGCCAGCTGTTTTGCGCTATTTGGTAAAGGGAAAACAAACGTGCCAAGCCTGGAAAGCTAGTTGAAATTAGTTTCGGTCACCAGGGCTAAGCTATATTTCCTGCAAACCATCTGCTTGATTGGCACAATAGAGGGATTTTCGGGGCAAAGTAGAGGAATAAAAAGCTTTGAACGTCTAACAGTTACTTATTTTCACCATGAATTGTGAAGATGCTGTGTTAGGTGTCTTAATATGTCTGCCCCGGACGGCTCAGCTTTTGGTCAGTCAGAAAGACGAAGGCAAATCTGATGAATGTGTATTTTTAAAGGAATAATTTCATGGTGCAGTTTTACTCCGATTTAGCACAGCCCTCAAATTACCTGTTTAAGCGTTAATTGTATTTATTCAAGTATGACAATTACGTGTCGACATCGAAACGTTTCACAACGTAAAATACATGCAGACATATAAAGACACTTCCTTAAATGTACAGCATTGATTCAACTCATTCTAAAATAGTTATGTGCCTATAGAATTACATTCAAAGTTTTGTTACTTCTAAAAACTTTACTAATAAAGCCATGCGACATATTTAAGTAGTCTTTCTTTAAAAAAATTCACGTCACAATACAGCTCAAATGACTATAACTGATTAAAGTGGCGCATTATAATTAGCAGGTACTTATTTACTGTTTTTTTTTATCTTCAGAAAAGAAAAAAACTAGAATAAACATTTCATCAGACATCAAAAACGAATAGGTATATACAAAAAGGTTAACGATTCTCACTGTCTTGGTCTGAAAACGGCAGAAAAAAGAAAAGTGTAAATTAAGAATAAGTGTCTCGTTTCCTTCAAAATTATCCTAAATACAATTACTATGAACATTATGTTAGTATACAAGTATATATTACCGCAACGCTTGACGCGCCTTCTGTGACTTAGTGACTCAAGCGGGACAGCAAATTTTTCTTCCCTTCACGTTCATAACATTCAAAGGAATTACTTTTAAGAAATACATTTGAAGACAACCACTTTTAAATGAATGGTTAGAGGTGAAAACCCGAAAGCACGCCGGTCAGACGCTATTAGTCACAGGTCTTAGCCTTAGACTTCAGGATTCACTTCTCTTAAAGGAGCAGACAGAAAAGAGTTCTGCAAAAAAATAAGATCCTCGGAATATAAAATCTTGTAGATTTTCCTGGCTTGGCCATTATCAGTTTTCTCCCAAGGGCGCATATCATCTAGGCTCCTGTGGCCTGCCTCGGGTCTGTGCACATTAAACTGGATCCACGCGTGGCGCAGCATGGTCCTGACCCAGCCTAACAAACAATGACATTCCCCCTTTTCTGAAAAACTCCGAAATTAGCCGCACTAGCTCCAAAGCAAAAGAACACAGGGAAAGAAAGTCACATTTATTTGTGACCCATTGAAGAGGTGAATTGCGGCAAAGAAAGCCGAAACCTCTGCTATGAACACAGTGCATTTTCATCACTGACTAGTCTTTGAAATGCTGCTTCCTGTCTTGTAAAATTATATATTGTTGTTTATTAGCAAGGTTTGATCTGTATTTGTACTATATAGGCCTACATATGGCACGTTATGTCGCTGCCCAGTACACATAAAGTTCACTCCTGTTGGCCTAAATTAAGATGACGACAATGGACACATACAATATACGGACTCTCCCCAGTACAGGTGAACAAATCAACGCTTAAATCTGTGCATTTTAGTTTTTGCGGTTTATTATCTCAGCGTTTCTAGAAAATTTCACAAGTGGGCATGATTTCTCTGCAAATATTTTAAACAAAACCCAATGCGTTTACAAAATAGGCTGACAAAAAGAAACCTAGAGAGTCAGAGAGCCGCGGTGTGCGATACATTCAATGGCTCTTTAATGTGAGTTTAATGTGAGATTTAAGGGTCTTTTCATATCAATGTTTTATAAATCGCAGATGCACTTTTATTCAACGGTTAAAGCGCCAGAACAAAAACCGTCCATTGAAAATAAGACTGGGTAATACGATTTTTTTCTGAAAGCTTTGTGTTGGAAAAAGAAAGAGAAAAACAGCTGAGGGTGACAGTTAGTTCATGGTTAATAGGATAAGGGCTGCGCGGCCAGGCCCGCACACTTCTCATTGCAAATGTTCAGCGGAGCCAGCAAAATGAATGGAGACTTTTCAAACTCATAATATTTAACACATCTGTTAAAGCGTTCTGTGACCAGAAATCCTGTTAATACATTATTCCATAACTAAGACTAGACTGAATGTTCGATAAAGAGTATCACGGTTTTTCTGAAATGTATGAAATCCCTCAGTCAATTAGACGTATTTATTTTAAAAATTAAAAATGCTCATTAAAAATGTTTAAAAACTAAATATGTAGCTAAAACAGTTAAAAATCTCAACCCAGGTAAGAATATCATGCAATAATTACAAGGAAAAAACGAAGCTTTATTACTACAGAATTGCAGTCTTGTAATAAACAAACTTGAAGTAAAAACAAGCCGTCTGAACGAAACAGAAGGCCGGGTGGTTCGACAGAATGTCGTCTTTATGGTCAGTACCAATAATAATAATAATAATAATAATAATAATAATAATAATAATAATAGAACATGTCTAATTCCTTTAAATCGGACCTGTATTTTTTGTTAATTTAATGTAAGTTAAACAGGAAAAAAAATGCATTAAAAACAACAAAAAGAAATTATCCGTGACTACTTTAACTGGGATTTTAACTAGAAATCCAAATATGGTTATTTTGTGTTGTCATTCTACCGGCGTTTCGAACGTCTTACAGATTTTACAATAATACTCCTATTTTATGAGCATGACGGGGGAGGGGGGAGGCTCAAATAAATTTTGTGGATCCCTTTAATAAAATGTTTATTCACAAGGCAAAACGACGTTTGAAACTTTTAAAATGGCCTTTTAATTAACCTATGTACGCCGCGTTCAAACAAAAAACCTACTGGGATTCAATATAGCAACCAATACCAGAGAGGCGGTCAATATGCAAAATTGATGACTACACCCTCTTTGTTACACAGACATTGTCTGCTACTTGCTTATGAAGTCTAATCCAATCATAAATTGCACCATTCCACCAATCAGGGCCCTTAAAACCCGGAGTGAAAGAAACTCATGTGGAGAACTTTGTTGATCCTCATTGTTAAAGCTGTCAGTTTTGAAAGAGCTTTGCTAAGCAGTCCACTATAAAACCCCTGATGTAAAGGGATCGGCCAGAAGAGTACTGGAAGTCTTTCCATTTGGATCCTAACAGAAGAACTCTCCTCTCAGTTAAAAATTGTGTTCTAAATATTTTTTTCCCCTTTTTCCTAAACGGTGCAATGATGTTTCCAAGTGTTATTGCGCCACCTGCGATGTATCCAAGCCTTCTTCGGCCATCAGCAGCTCTGTCCCTGCCGCAGTCTTTGCATTCAGCTTTCACTTCTCACTCAAGTTTCTTAGTGGAGGACCTGCTGCGGATCAGTCGGCCGGCGACCTACTTGTCACGGAGCGTCCCGTCGCCCAGCGTCTCGCCGCCGACCACGGGCGCCACAAGCCTGAACAGCAGTCCGGCGGAACACGTCAGCAGCCCCACGGCACTCGCAGGCAGAACATGTTCGCCTCAAACTTCACTTTCTTCCAACAACGACCCCAACTATCTGAAGTTTGGAGTTAATGCGATCCTGGCACCGTCAACCAAAAACGGTAATGTTCCACGCATCTGATCCGTTATTTCGAGTTTCCTGAAGTTTAGTACTAATTAAAAGGGTGTTATAGCCGAAATACCCTGACTTATCGTTACTTATGACCACAGGTGGATTTCACAGGAATCGATCAGCTATGTTCTCTGTATTCTAAAACATTTGAGTACTTTTTTGAATACTTTTATTTTTTTGCAGCGCGGTTGTTGCATTAATTTAGATATTGTGATTGACAGTTTTGAAGATAATAAGTATCTGTGTTGTTTACATTTTTTGGGGGTGGGGGGTGGGAAACGAAACGAGGCATGTCTGAAAAACACATTTATCTTTCTGCTGATACTTCAATTAATTTTATTTGCATGTTTCGTTTTTATTACAGCATCATCGGCCCCTTCTATTCAGTGCGTGCACCCGAAAGCCTTCCAGTTCCCATATTTTGACGGATCATTCCCCCCATTTATTAGATCCACCTATTTTCCAGGTAGGTTCATCTGATTATTTTATGCCATTGCTATGAACACGGTTTGTTTGTTTGCTTTTCTCGCATTTTACATTCTCAAGCAAAGCCGTGGGGTTGTACAGGCTGTTGGTTCAGAGGCTGGAAGCGGTACAACATTGTGGAATCAGTCTCGCCAATTTGATGCCCTATTTAGCACAAGCAGTGACTGCTGACATTTTGCACCGTTTCCCCTAATCTACAAATTAGCCGGAATTGTCATGCTCTAAATTTGAGGCGGGCCCCTTCTCACATCGAAACTGCTTGGCATCTCTTCACGGCCCCGGTTTTCCCACAGAGCAAGTGCATTTAGCCACTGATTGTTAACAATGGTTTCAGCACCATGACCAATTGGTCAGCTCCCTCCGGGCAGCCACACACAGACTCGGCGTTGACTTTACCATGCTTCTGATAGGCATTTACCAGTCATGGACTAATTCCCTATTAGGGTCTATTCACCGTTTCGATATTCTCACAAGACCACATAGTGCGGTGTGCGCGTTTTGCTGAACTGAAGCACAGAATATATAAAAATCGCACTCAGATTTACAGAAGTATAACAGTTTTATTAAATACACGACCAAAATATATGTTACCCTTAAAATACAATAAATAGATGTAAACAAAGTTTAGTTGCGTGGAAATTAATTATTGTAGTTAAGCGTTTTTAGATTACATAGGCCTGCTTTTGTATGGCGCACCGAAATTTAAAAAGAATATGGAGTATGATTTAAAATTCCCGCTCTTGTGCGGGCCTATTATGGGGTGGAGAAGAATCTCTTCTATAAAGTCGTTAATTCGTGCTTTTATTCCGGCTAATAATAATAGAATTTGATTCTTTTCATGGCTGCATGAATACTTCAACAAAACAACTTGAGCTATATGAATAGCTTTTCGTGTTCATTTAATGAAAATGATTTGGGGGCAAAAATAGGCCCCAGTCATCAGTATTCTCCAAATGATCTTGGCATGCAGTTGTGTTTAGTTTGAAAGTGTAAATCTCTTTTGTTAAAATAATATATGGCTTTAGCTGCCTGTCCTGAGCCTTTTTCTGTTAGTTCATTACTACACAATTACCGTTCACGCTTCATTAGCGCCTCTATTTTTCATTGGAATTTTCTTAAAGGATACTCTGCCTTTTTACCATACCAATGCTATTGGGAACCAAGCAATGTGCTAATTAGTTGCTTCGTGCCATTCCACGCAAACGGAATGCTATTTAATAACACAAGAACAAAAAAGGCATTCAATATTTATAGATCCTGGAACAGGAATGATTACTTTTCAACACCTAGATTTGAAAAGCAATGCGGAGAGCCTCTCTTGGGCTTCATTTCCGCCAAACAAACTGCCTTTTTCTAGGTAGAATGCACTGAATTTCAGGAAGAATTTTTTTCAAGTAACTTCTTTATTTCTTTTATAGCGTCTTCTTCGGTGGTGCCGATCCCAGGCACGTTTTCATGGCCTCTGGCAGCCAGGGGGAAGCCCAGGAGAGGGATGCTGCGCCGGGCTGTCTTCTCTGACGTGCAGAGGAAAGCCCTTGAGAAAATGTTCCAGAAACAGAAATACATCAGCAAGCCCGACAGGAAGAAGCTGGCGGCCAAGCTTGGCCTTAAAGATTCACAGGTATACTTTTTAAATAAAAATAAATAAATAGAAAACTATTCAAATGTATACAGTTGAATATGTGGTATATTTTAGAATGATGTCTTGCTTTTTTCGGACAGTAAAATGTAACAACTCATTCTGCCGCTTCCTGTAGGTTAAAATTTGGTTCCAGAACAGAAGAATGAAATGGAGGAATTCCAAAGAGAGAGAGCTTCTGTCTTCCGGGGGGTGCCGGGAACAAACCCTACCGACAAAGTTAAACCCTCACCCAGACCTGAGCGATGTTGGGAAGAAGTCTTCGGGGGAGGAGGAGGCCCTGGGAGGGGAGAGCCCACGAGCATCGCTCTGTCACTCCCCCGCTGGTCGCAAGCTGTCAGACAGTGTGGAGTCACACCTCTCGTCACCATGTCAATCCAGTAAACACTCAGACTTCTCAGAGTCGGAAGATGAAGAAATCACAGTTTCCTAGATAATCTAAAATAAATAAATTATGTTTATATAAAATTAAATAAAATACCTTATATACAGAAACAACTAATTAAATGTAAATAAGAGGATGTATCCCTTAACTTAGACAGAGATATCAGAATCCAAGTTTGCTTTCAACACACACCCTGCATCAAATCAATTTGAAACGCAGCAAATGTTTGGAATGTTGACATGGATCATATTTGGGACGATCTTATATCCCATATATAAATGTTTATTTTAGGGGATATGCATCCTTCTTGGAATAACTTGCTGTATTTGCACAGCTTTTGTGAACTGTACAGAATTTTGTAAATTTTTTTTTGTATTGGAAATTTTATACCAAGAGTATTTTGAGTGACAATATGGCTTTTACATTAGATAATGTAATGATTTAACAAAGAAATGTAGACGTTAAATGTATAAATTATAAAGATATTATTTTCTATTATCTCTGTGTATGAAGTTTTAATATGTATGTATTTTACATGTTTTGTACAAACGCCAAATAAAATGTAGAAAATGCAAAGAGTTGCAACTCTCTGGAGTGCATGATGACACAGGTCGGATTTGAATCTGCTAGTCAAATTGGTCAGAATGCATAGTGTTTAAAATATATTTTGCATTTTGATATCCATATGAAAAAAGTCAATCAAAATTAACATGAATGTTAATAAGTAGACCAAAAATATAACATTGTTGTGTTTAAGTACGAACTACCACTTGTTAGCAGCAATATCATATTCCAATTTATAATGCATCCTGTCAATGCACTTTTCATGAAACTCTTTGAAATTAACAAAAATTCACCTTAGGCAAATTGATTTTCTGGTTTTAAACTATGTTGCCTGTGAATGTGTAAAGAAATAATAATGTATTATTTTGTTGAAATGTGAAACCTACCGTGGAAATAACTGATTCCTTTTGGTTAATAATGGGATTTTTAAAATCCATTGTAGTACCTATATTTCAGAATTTCAGAAAAAGTAAGAACAGTACCTGAGTCAAACAGGACCGGTTAATGGGTCCTGATGCCCAAATTGGTTTAATAAGTCTAAAGGCACATCCAGTCAATTTCACTCCGTCCTTTTTACACTCACGCTTATAAAACAGCATTTATTTGACTGAACAATTATATTTTTTTGTTAAGGTAAAATTATATTCAAAAGGCGAAGCAAACATGTGCATATACATGGATGCATGCAGCCAGAAACACACACGTGTGTGTGCAAAGACTATAAAGTATTTCACCACAGTAGCTAATAAATAAGCATTCATTTATTGATCATGAATAATTTAATAACATTACAATGATCATATTTATTTTGTGTGAATCTGACAGCAATTTCTGACAAACCTGAAAGAACACACTAGGTGAACTGTGGACTGTACACAAAATACTTTTCTAGTTTTGTTTAAAAACGGCTAGAAAAATTCAGTAAAATGTAGCACTGTAATATTTACATTTCTCTATGTTACAATGTACATGTAAATAGCAAAATACGCCTTGCTAAACAGATCACCTTACTTTAAAACTACATCAAAGAGAGGCCCTTCCATAAAATTAACATCCAGACTCCTGCAGGGAAAATGCCATAAAAAGAAACGTCCAGCCGTAGCTTTGTGCTTGTATCAATTATAAGAACCCTTTGCCAAAATTTACAGAAAAAAAACCCTCTAATTAAATTACAACTCAGAACCTATTCACATATTGATTTAGTCGCTGTACAATTCTTGGCAGTCCTGACAAATACTAGGAAACTATTTGGCTTCCATTTAAAATTCAGAATGAATGTTGCATAGAATTAGTAACTAAGAACACTCAAAGTGAACAGGTCAAACACTGAAAAGGGAGAGAAGCATGGAGAGAGGAAAAAAATGAAGCCGTATGTCATACTATTAAAAGTAGGTTTTCAAATGCTCAGTGTTATGGGTTTCAAAGGAGGAATAAAGCATTGTCTCTGAAATAAAGCAAGGCTGAGGATCCCATTTACACTTAATGCAAATTGACACAATGTTAATTCTTTTGTAATGAGTTCGCTACTAGACACGCTGTCATTAGTTTCAAAGCAAGGTCGGGGCCCCGGCCCCTCCCTTCGCAGAATATCCAAATGTTTTTGGATACTTAATCTTGATAAGTGATTAGAAACAAAGCAATAAAATGAAGGTCTTTCCCCTAAATGAGGCAACAAACATCACAGCCATCACATTTCATGCACTGATACTATTTCCATCATCACTTACAAGAAGATCACAAAAAAGTGGAACAAGTAAGACAATGGCATAAAGTGTATTGGCTTGTGAGGTAAAAGAACAACCCCTTCAGATCTTCAGCCATCTTTCGTAACCATTAAATCTGTACAGTACAACTTAAATTGGGTGTTGTCTGAGCATCAATCCCAGACTTTGTCATCAGGTTGGCCTGGACCAGAAAGATGCAGCAGTTTCACCTGATCAGTGGTTCAAAGCCCATTTTAGGCTTTGACAGCTACCCCTACGGGTATATGCTGCAGCAGCTAGATCAAAGCAATGATATGGATTCAAAAGAAGGTTGCCTTCATTTTCCCTCTTATTAACATGGCATTATCCTTTGATATGATGGGGGAAATTGTCATAGCACCTTGAATCTGCAAATTCACCTGCAAATTGCCAAGGGAGATGACACTACAGCCCTGCAGTTAAAAGTAAAAAAAGACAACAACACTGATGCATGTTAAATATTACAAAAGAGGTAAGGCATCATTTTTGTAGTTCAGCACCAAAACGATGTTTGTCAAAGCTTGTGACTGCTCCTCTGTGACAATGCACACTAGCTGAGCTATAAGAAGCTGACTGCCCCTTACTGCTGTGTCTGTGAGTGCTCTAAAGAGGAAGGGGTACACCAGCGGAAGGCTATAAAGCTCACCATGTAACAGAGTTGTGGCCCAACCTGTGCCCTCAATCACAGTCTGGCACCCTGGCAACCGAAACAATAAGCCTACATAGCTAAAAACCTGAGGCCCCTGGAAAGGGATCCAATCACACTTATTACATGACATTATTGTGGCATGCTCTGTGAACTCCACAACTGTGCCCTAAAAAGAGAGTACGCAACTCTCACAGAGCCATAATGCACCATCCACAATGAATCACAGAACATCTAAGGACTCAGCATGTTTGATCTGAAACCAATGCTCGCCCCTTCTGCTGGCACTGGGTGATCACACTAGACTAGGATGGGCTAACATCCAGGCAGAAAGATCACGAGTACAGCACAAGGCCGTGTGAATGGGGTAGCATAGGGTGGTCACTTTAGACCGGCACTTCGGTCTTCTAGCACCATCTGCAGTTTAGAGCATATGTAACACATTTATGCAGGAGTTCAGCAAGATTGTTTGGTTCACAGAAATGGAGGCATATGTTCTTCAGGCTGGATGAAAAGCCCATGGCAGGATATCAGCTCCACAAAAGCCAGATCCTTGTACCTTTAACATCCTACAGTGGGGCTAAGAACAGCCTTTCACAAAAATATTGAAAAAATAAAGCAGTGCAGTTTTTTTTTTCGTTTCTGTTGTTAAAAATGAAATCAACTTTTCTATCATGGGTTACCTGCACCCACTGTATTTCTTTGTCAGTCTCTGAGAGCAGCTTGCTCTGGTTGCTGGTAATTAGGAGTCATTCTTCCTTGTGTTTAAAACTACTGATCGATTCACAGCGTCGACTCCAATGAAGAGTCCAGGATGTCGTCGTGGTGGCTGTTGCTGTTTGAGTCGCTGTCATAGCTCTGGGGGCTCGAGCAGTTAGCAGCTTCTTGAAGTCGCATCAGCATGTTCATCTGGGGAAGGGAAATCAGGATAATGGTTAGCAACATAGGTCTAAGTTAACGAAAATGTTCAAGAAGATTATAGTTAAGCGTTTGTTTACCGTTTACTGATGTGAGGGGGAACTCTACTCCAAGACAAGCACAAACCTGACTGTACTCTTAAATATCATTAATCAAGTTCATTGGCTAAATATCCATATAAGACTTCCCACTCTGGCAAAAATAAGGACATCCTGTCAAATCTCCTCTGTATACAGTAACTGAAACAGGGGTTACACTGACTGAGAAGGGGCTGTTTTGAGTGAAACACACAGCTACACTGACGGCATAACCAGAGGCCCGACTGGGACATGAGCGGCTATTCATTCACCAGAGGGTCACCCTCCGCGTCGCTCGGGGGGATCTGCTTGCTGTGGCCTTCCCGTGAGATGGAGTAGCCGTCGAAGCCCACGTCTTCGGGGCGCAGCTGGAGCAGCGGGGGCCACTCGTGCTGCTGGGGGCTAGCGGCCCAAGGGTAGGTGTCCATGACCCACTTGGCTGGGTCTTCCCATGGTGACCTTCTTCCATACAACTGTGAGATCGAGAAAGGCACCAGATTAACAACCAAACTGATCTCTGAAAATGCAATCACAAGCAGGACTAACACATAATACATTACTGCATGTCAGTTACGGTGGTGGCTCTGTGATCGACATGCTGTAGCTGTAGTGCTGTTACTTAGACTCAATTACTCCAGGGCCCCTGGACACTGGCTGAGCCTGTGCACTGACCCCAAGACTTGCTCTCACCTGTACGTGTGTCTATGTGTCTCATGGAGAGCAAGAAGGGACATGCCAAATTCCCCACAGGGAAGAAGTATCACTATTTTATTTGCTCAGCCGTATTCATAAAGAAATCACAATAATTCTACTTTTGGTCATTACGACATAATTATACCACGGTGCTGCTAAATTCCCAAATCTGATAGGTCAGAAGGATGTTGATTAATCATTTATTACCACTCATGTAGTGCCCTTCAGGTTGATCACAATAGTATATCAATGCACTATTACAACATTACTTAAAATTCCACACATAGAACACAATTTAAAATTATCAGGAACGAAACAAAAATGCTTAATCATTAACGGAAGAAGTGTAGTAGTTCTACCAATAAATGCATTTTCAGCTCGTAAACATGAAAATAATGTATTTTGCTACAAACGTATAATCCAGATGTGTCGTAACCATGGCATAAGCGGGTTAATGCGCTCCAAGCTTCGCATTATACGTTTTTAAATTCCACTCCGTAAAGGCAACCTTACTTAACAGTGGCTCAAACAAGATAGTCGCCTGTTTACACATTTACCGTGCTGGAAATTAACTACTGACAAAAACTTAATGGTCAATTTTGTACTTTTGTGCCTCGTTATATGTTTGTAACTACTGTAAGACTGACAGGGCTGATGATGAGTCTAGGGTGTTATTGTGCCTATAAAACCCGCATGAATGGTCATTCATTTCTTCTCAAAAGCAGCTTGGTTATATGTTATGCCACGGATAGAGACATTCATTGCACTAAAAAGACCAGACATTGAAAACTAGAAAATGCATGTTCTTACATCT